CTACTCAGCTTCGTTGTATGGCCGCGATAGATTCGGTTGGGAAGTTTTGTTATTGGTTAGTATTATCTTTCTAATGTTTTTATTGTTACCGATGTTTATTGTTTTTTTGTATAGATTAGGCAATGTGCCTTGTCTTGTTTAATTTTGCAAATTATGTGTTAGGTCATGCAGATGAGTTAAGGATACTTATCAAATTTTTTCTGATTGTCTATTCCTCTCTTGTTTGACCAGTGAAAATCGTCCGGTTGACAGGTGGTGCGACCGCTCAGAAGCTGACACTTGTCACTTAACTTTTCTTGTCACTTAACACTTAACTCTTTATTGACCGTTTCAATGTATTAGTTTGCACTTGTCGCTTAACACGTTCACTGCTAGTTGGATATGGTTTTTACGTTTTGCGTTTTAAGAGCTCGCGCTGCTACGATGCGTCTTGCTCTGTCAAGTACTGGAACGTGGCTGATATTTTGTGTTTTCCAATTTTATAATAAAAATAAAAAAACTTACTTACTACTTGATTATAGAAATTAAAATCTACTATCTACTCTACAAAAAGCAAAAAACTTAACATTTACCTAATTAAATTTATATTTAAAATTTTATGTGGTTTTTGCACCTGAATATTTTTTAGAATGGAATCTATATCTGAAGAAATTTTTGAAGAAGCAAGCAAGATTAAGTATTTCAAATGAGTGTGATTTATCCTTGAGCGGTATTTATTTTTAATAATTGTCATAATCTAAAATGTCTGTTCGCATACGTACGTTGATCCAAACCGGCAACAGTACCTAAGAGCAAAATCGTGCAACTTTGGAAAATCTGCAACAGATACAAATTTCCAGAACTCAACATAATCTTAATTGCTTGCCCATGTTGAAAAAATGTCTTCGTATTTGCCTTTTAAAACTAAGTGATTTTGCAAATCAATTAACTCAGTTTGAATTTCAGCAGAATATTCTTTGATTTCCTGGAAAGAAATGACAAACGGGTTTATAAAGTTCAATATTTTTGTTATCTTTCTGGAAATCATCTATTTTCAAATGAGTTGCACAAGACGTTTATGAAATTCTTAAATAGGTCATATTTTGGCGTTTTATTGAATTTTGTTAAAAATGCGAGTTAATCTTTCGAAATTATTTGCGAAAAGTGCCAGTTTAGCAACTAAAGAGGAAATGTGTGAAAATAATGTAAGAAAAATACAGTTTTTGCCCAGAAGTTGTAAATTTAAATTATTTAAATCCCACAACCAATCTTCGTTTTTTAGAAGTAAGCACTCATTGGGAAGCTCATTGTTGTCTTCTAAGAAGTTTCCAAAACGTATCAAGAGCACTTCCTTTAGAAAGCCAACGCACATCACAATGAAGAACTTCGCCATTTTCTTCAGTTTCATTGGGAAAGAGACTTCGAAATTGTCTCCGATTTAACGCTCGCACTCGAATCTTGTTAATACAGCGAACTTGTATAATGCAATTAAATTTGAACATTTCTCTACCCAAATGAATTTCAAGCAAAGCCACAGCTTCTTTTATCTTCCCAGACATTTCCGGTGCTCCATCTGTACAAATGCTGTCAAGTTTTGTCCAATCCAAATTTTTGATCTCGGCAACACTTTTTATTTCATTGAAAATAACTTCTCCCCTGGTGGTACAGAAGGGAAATTTCGTATGAGGCTCTTACCATCGACTTCATCTCGTCGCTTCTTTTATGAAAAAATGACTGCTGCCCTGCTAATGAAATCTGTTCGTAATTTTGAGCCAACAGGATATGTGGCAATAAAAGAACCATGTATTTGGGTGAAATGTCGCTCCAAGTTGAATTTCTTCGGAACTGCCTCAAAAGCACCGCAAATTAAGCATACCGGCTTAGAAGTATTTTGACACGTACATAAAAACTGTTCTTCCCATGCAATATTGAAATCACGCACAGCAATGTCTTCTTTATATTTCCTTTTTGATGTTGAAGCCATTTTAAAATAGAACAATCGATAATAAAATAATTATGTACTTGCAAAAAATACGCTACGCCCCGACAAACAAAGGCCGAACACTAAAAATAAAACAAAACATTCCATCAACGTCACGTGGCGAGGCCGTTGCGTTTAAGTTTTGTAGTCCCGGTGCATATGTTGTTAGTTCTCAATTAACGAAATTTTAGATTTTTTGTTTTAGTTTGGTCTGTTTAGTGAAAGGGAGTTTTGGTTGTTTGGTTTAATGATATTGTCATTTTTTTTTATTTGTGGAAAACCTGGCGTGCCACTCTAGAGGTTCACCGCTGATGTAGGTGGTGCAGGTACTAAATCCAAGTTAGCGGACAAACTTCCCCAGGTTTTTGTTATTGTTATGGGAAAATTGGGGGTGGTCGTAAATTGTTACTAAACCGTAACCCGTACGACTTTAACTCCGTGGGGTCATCATTTCCCACAATTTGATACATATAAACCACCTTTGAATTTTGCCCTCACTTCATCTCCTATTTTATTTAAACATTATTTTGCTTTATTATTGCAAGAAAAGTAATGACAATAGACGAAATACATTAACCATAATTTGTTTCTCACACCCATTGCCGCGAGTTTGTCACTCAACCAAAATGTTCTTGATTAAGTTTGTTGCAAATAAAACGTGGTAAAAGTGTTTAAACAATTTGTTCTATGGCGGCTATATCGTTTTCCTGAAATTTGATTTTGAATTTTCAACCCTCGATAGGAGTGGAAATATGCATAATTTGGGGTTGCTCCAAATTAAGCAAAATATAGAGGATATTGATGCTAACATTTCGTACATGCAAACGTTTTTTGAAAATTATATTATTCTTTTTTGAAGGTTAATTAAAACTGATTTCAACATTTACCCCCCCTTTTTTTCACCCCAAAATGAAGCTTGACGACTTCACTCTTACAACCCCACATAGTGCACTGGCTTTACACAACAGTCATAAGGCCAATGATCACATACGGCAGCCTTGTTTGGTGGAATGCGTTAAGCAAGCCCACCTATAGGAAGAAGATGGACAAGCTCCAACGATTTGCCTGCATGGGCATAATTGGAGCTTTCAGAACCACTCCAACATTGGCAATGGAGGCCATACTGGGACTGGCGCCTCTACATCTCTTTGTGGAGGCACGGGCTCGGGAGGCCTCAGTTAGACTCAACGATTGGGGACAGTGGACTCAAGGGGGGGAAAACTCAGGGCATGCAAGGGCCTGGATTGAGACTATCAACCGGGACCCCCTTCTCACAAGAAGGGATGCAATGCCAAAGACGTCTACCCCCCTCAGGAGATATAAAGTGGTTTTCCCCTCCAGAAACGACTGGAGTGAGCCTGACCCAGGCTTTCTCAAACCGGAAGGGCTCATCTGATATACAGACGGGTCTTTAATAAAAGAAGGTGCAGGAGCTGGTGTATATGGAGAGCGACCTGGGGCGAGAATAAGCCTTGCACTAGGTCGATACCCAACGGTATACCAGACTGAAATCTTTGCCATCCAGATATGCGCCCAAGAGAATCTCCAGAGAGGCTACTCGGGTAAACATATCTACATATGCAGCGACAGTCAAGCAGCACTCCGGGCTCTTCACTCGGAAAGGGTCAACTCGAGACTTACACTGGACTCCATAAAAACCCTTGAACTACTCAGTGTGCTCAACAAGGTTAACCTTATCTGGGTACCGGGTCATCGAGGCATCAGAGGCAACGAGGAAGCAGACCAGCTGGCTCGTGAGGGCAGCAACACGGCCTTCTTGGGGCCAGAACCTGTCATAGGGGTCGCCTCATGTCTGGTAAAAACCAAAATCAGGAACTGGACTAACGACCAGTTCCAGAAAAAATGGTGTGAACAACAAGGCCTCAGGCAGTCAAGGGCCTTTATAAAGAGTCCTACTACCTGCAAAGAGGCAAAAAGACTCCTAAAACTTAACAGGAACCAGTTAAGAACCATCACAGGAGTCCTAACAGGACACTGGGTGGTCAAATACCACCTACACAAAACCGGACTCAGCAACGAGTCGGACTGTAGGTACTGCAGCGAAGTAGATGAAACTACCGAGCATATAGTCTGCGAATGCGACGCTCTAGTCAATAGTAGACTAAGACACCTAGGGGACAGATACTTGGAACCAGAGGAAATAATGCATGCCCGACCAGAGCGGGTCTGCGCTTTTCTTAAAAGCTGCGGGCTCGTAAGGTAAGGCAGAGCTTCACCAAAAGGGGGTTTGCACAATGGGCCGTATGTGTGCCTAAGTGCTGCCTGCAAAGGCTCCCCTTCAAATCAATCAAATCAATCAATCACTCTTGCGAACAAAAATGCTGCCTGAATTTTCTGAAAAATTTACCTCAGAGAGATTAAGTCTTACGGGTTATGGTTTAGCACCAATTTAAGACCACACCCAATCATCCCCTGACAAAAAAACCCCCGGAGAAAATGTGTTCGCAAACTTTAGTACCTGCGCCACAAAAATAAGCACCTGCCATGGAGACTTTCCTACTCCATTCAGTATACACAGTGGCGTCCAGGACGGGTCCCGCAGGACCCTCGGTGCGGGGGGGCCCCGACCTTAGGGGCGGCCCGTAGAGTACCATATTGGGAGGTATAAGTGACAAAGAGGCCCCAGCTCAAAATTTGCGGGGGGGGGCGATCACCTTTGCACGCTACTGAGTATACAGTTTGACTGTACTATAGATACATTTTTCGTTAAATGATTCAGCTCCATTATATTTACTATGACAAATTAATAAATAAATAATAAATAATTTTTCAAAACAATTAAAATATATTATTAGGTGCAGTAAACATTAAACATATCACATCTAAATTGAATTTTATGTTTATGACTAACATCAAAACATAATTTCATTTTATTGTTCCAGGTCAAACCTTATTGAGAAAAAAAATATTCAAATAAATTGTTATAGTATTTATGATCCCCTTATCAGGACGGTTTAATTATTAATTTAAATTTAATAAAAAAACTTTTTATTTTAATATATTAATAAAAATAACTGACCTGTTACACTTTGTGATGTCCGTCCATATGATCTGGAAGATTTAAATCCACTGGATGAAAGATTACTATTTGATGAGCTAGCAGACATGCTATCGCCTTGCACAGCTCTTCTGTGACTAGGATCAAGGGATTGTAAAATAACTTCAGCTTGCTCAGGAAAATGAACACGTAAGCCTTTAAAAGCCCTAAAATTATAAAAAATATGTTATTAGTTATAATTAAACATCAACAATAAATCATTGTTTTTTTTAAATGAAAATATGAAATTAAATTAATTAAATTAAATATAAAATTTTATATTTTATTTCGACAAATTTTAACACAATAAAGTATAGGGTGATTCAAATTGCATTATCGTCTAAAATATTTTTAAAACGCCACTGCATTTATCAAAAGCAATGTGAGAATTATATTCTAGATATATAAACAAAATTAGTCATGGATCAATACACCACGGAGCAACGCGTTAAAATTATCCAAGCCCATTATGAAAAAGGGCGATTGATAAAAATTGCGTTTCGTGCTCTACGTTATTTTTTTGATGCGCAAAATTTTAGGTTAATTTAGTATGTGGTCTAAAAATGCCAGCTTACTGTATGCAAGGGCGTCGATAATTTTTTCTTTTGGGGGGTTACATATAAGGAAAATAATTTTGCAAAACTCCTTATTGTTTAGTACCAAAACTAAATATCTCATAAGCATAAACATACATTCTTTTTGAAGTACCTAGGTAATCTTTTTAAATATAAAATTCAAATTATAAAATTATAATGTCTTTTTTTCATTCTTTCAAACCGATCCAAAACCTTATCAATATTTAACTAGACTTTAGTACATCAGAGATTCGCACAAGATGCGAGAGATTATTAATCTAAGGATGCTGGGGGTGGACGTTCACTTAAGATGATGCGCACAAGATGCGAAATCATTACGATTTTGCGAATTAAATTCACTAGTGTAATAGTAATAAAATAGGACTTTTATTATGCCACACTTTAAAAACTATTCATAGAGGGCGACTTGAATTCATAAATTATATTTGTAGTAATTTTTTTTCTTAGGACTTTTATCTTTGGGGGTAATTACCCCCATTATCCCCCCTTGACTGTATGCGTAGCTAACATCAAAACCACTAAGCATGCTCGTAGAAGTCGTTCGGAAGAAAATATTGCCATTGTTCGCGAAAGTATGGCGGAAACCCAAGCACATCGATTCGTCATCGATCACAGGAACCACAGATTTCGTTTTTTTTTTCATCCGTTTGTATCGTCACGATTCGGAACTTATAACTCAAAAAAAATCTTGTAAATTTACAACACATTTACTAGTTAAAACATGTACACTTTACAAATATAATGTTGTGAAAATTAAAACACAAGTTAATTTATGAAAATATACACAGTTTTTTGTAAAATTAATAATTTTTGTGAATTTACAATGGAATATTAAGTTTTGTTATGTAAAAATACATTTCATTTTGTTATATTTACATTATTATTGTTTTAAATACATATCAATTTGTAAAATTTGCATAATTTTTGTAATTTTACTATTCGCATGTAAAATTACAAGTTTTATTGTAAATTCTAACCAATTACCGAGCGCCAAATCGTGATGTGTGGGTGCACCCGCTACTAGCGTCTAGAGGCACCGAATTATCTTGGCTCCCTGGCTCCTAGACATGCGCGTTTTAGAGAAATGTACTCAAACTCAACAACACAACCCAACCGACCCCGCCCCATTGGGCTCCCCCCGCCCCATTGAGCAAAAAATGGGCAAATTTATGTAATTATAAAGTGTTTTTTTATCTTAACATAAATTTGCTAATTTTAGTTGGTTTTTTTTGCTCAATGGGGCGGGGGGGGGGCAATGGGGCGGGGTCGGTTGGGTTGTGTTGTTGAGTTTGAGTACATTTCTATAAAACGCGCATGTCTAGGAGCCAGGGAGCCAAGATAATTCGGTGCCTCTAGACGCTAGTGCACCCGCTTCCTTGTCAGCCATTGTGTTTAGTGGATGAACTTGATTTTATGTGCAGTTAGAATTTAGTTTTCTACAAGGTCTTTTACTATTGGTAAGTACTTTAAACTTAGTTAAAGATGCATAATTAATTCATAATTGTTTTAGACTATGTTAACCTGTAATATTTGCGAAATTAAATTATATTCTTTAAAAAAATATAACACTCATCTTCAATTGCATAGAAATACACCGGGAGCAGTGTTTACGTGTCTATATCGGAACTGTAGATGTGTTTTTAAAAACTATAACCGTTTTAAAACTCACTTATATAGAAGCGACAATTTATCTAAACAATATTCTAATAAAAAATATTGTTGTAATGTAACAAATTGTCCATATAAACTGCTCGTCATAAAAAACGACGCACCTAGTTTTTTGGAAAATATTTGAAAGCTCGTTATTGGAAAATTACTGAATCGATTTTGAAAATCTTTGAAAATTCTAAATAGCTGATTCTTTGACTCTTATGTCTAATTTTGGGAATACGATATTTTGCACATAGCATTATACTACAGGGTGTTAAACGAAGAGATGAATTTTTCTCGAAATTTCAAGTTATTCCCATTCATAGGGCAGTTGACTTTGATAGTCGTAATACCTCTCCCTGATATAAGTTGGGTAATCCCTCGGAACGTTTTCGAGATTTTGTGGATATCTTGGCTAACTACGATTATATGCCAATTTTTTTAAAATTGTCCTTATTCCCCAGTTTAGTCAAAAAAATGAGCAATAGTGGATTCTTTGACTTACGTCTAATTTTGGGAATACGATATTGTGTACATGACATTATACTACAGGGTGTTAAAAAAAGAGATGTTTTTTTCCAAAATTCCAAATCCCAATTCACAGGGCAGTTGTGCTTGATAGTCGTAATACCCCTCCCTAGTAACAGTTAGGTAATCCCTCGGGACGTTTTCGAGATTTTGTGGATATCTTGGCTAACTACGATTATATGGCAATTTTTTGAAAATTGTCGTTATTCTCCATTTTAGTCCAAAAAACGAGCAATAGTTGATTCTTTGACTCTTATGTCTAATTTTGGGAATACGATATTGTGCACTTGCTACATACTACAGGGTGTTAAAAAAAAGAGATGTTTTTTTTCCAAAATTCCAAATCCCCATTCACAGGGCAGTTGAGCTTGATAGTCGTAATACCCCTCCCTAATAACAGTTAGGTAATCCCTCGGGACGTTTTCGAGATTTTGTGGATATCTTGGCTAACTACGATTATATGCCAATTTTTTTAAAATTGTCCTTATTCCCCAGTTTAGTCAAAAAAATGAGCAATAGTGGATTCTTTGACTTACGTCTAATTTTGGGAATACGATATTGTGTACATGACATTATACTACAGGGTGTTAAAAAAAGAGATGTTTTTTTCCAAAATTCCAAATCCCAATTCACAGGGCAGTTGTGCTTGATAGTCGTAATACCCCTCCCTAGTAACAGTTAGGTAATCCCTCGGGACGTTTTCGAGATTTTGGGGATATCTTGGCTAACTACGATTATATGGCAATTTTTTGAAAATTGTCGTAATTCTCCATTTTAGTCCAAATAATGAGCAATAGTCGATTCTTTGACCCTTATGTCTAAGTTTGGGAATACAATATTGTGCACATAGCATAGCAAAAATATTTTCATATTCGACGAAAAAAATGACAACAATAATTGAAGCGATGAAAGTCAAAACCAGATATGCACCATATTTTTTAAACGTTCATGCTCAACCGTTTGTAGAAAATTGCATGAATATAGCCTGCATAAGTTTACGAGAATAATGCTGTTTGGTTTGCGTTTTTATTTTGAATTTCACCAAAAAAAATTACTTTCGTGTAAAAAATATCAGATTTAATGAATCACGCAACGTACATAAACTGAAAGCACGTTACCTACCTTAAAACTCTGTGTTGATAACTAATAGATACCTTCCGTAGTTTGCTTATTTTTGTGACTTAAGAGGAGAATAACGTGAATTTTCGAAAAACTGCCATATAATCGTAGTTAGCCAAGATATCCACAAAATTTCGAAAACGTTCCGAGGGATTATCTAACTGTTATTAGGGAGGGGTATTAGGACTATCAAGCTTAACTGCCCTGTGAATGGGGATTTGGAATTTTGGAAAAAAACATCCCTTTTATTAACACCCTGTAGTAGCATGCTATGTGCACAATATTGTATTCCCAAACTTAGACATAAGGGTCAAAGAATCAACTATTGCTCATTATTTGGACTAAAATGGAGAATAACGACAATTTTAAAAAAATTGGCATATAATCGTAGTTAGCCAAGATATCCCCAAAATCTCGAAAACGTGCCGAGGGATTACCTAACTGTTGTTAGGGAGGGGTATTACGACTATCAAGCTCAACTGCCCTGTAAATGGGGGTTTGGAATTTTGGAGAAAAAAACATCTCTTTTTTTAACACCCTGTAGTATGTAGCTAAGTGCACAATATCGTATTCCCAAAATTAGACATAAGAGTCAAAGAATCAACTATTGCTCATTTTTTGGACTAAAATGGAGAATAACGACAATTTTCGAAAAATTGCCATATAATCGTAGTTAGCCAAGATATCCACAAAATCTCGAAAATGTCCCGAGGGATTACCTAACTGTTACTAGGGAGGGGTATTACGACTATCAAGCACAACTGCCCTGTGAATGGGGATTTGGAATTTTGGAAAAAAACATCTCTTTTTTTAACACCCTGTAGTATAATGTCATGTACACAATATCGTATTCCCAAAATTAGACGTAAGTCAAAGAATCCACTATTGCTCATTTTTTTGACTAAACTGGGGAATAAGGACAATTTTCAAAAAATTGGCATATAATCGTAGTTAGCCAAGATATCCAAAAAATCTCGAAAACGTTCCGAGGGATTACCCAACTTATATCAGGGAGGGGTATTACGACTATCAAAGTCAACTGCCCTATGAATGGGAATAACTTGAAATTTCGAAAAAAATTCATCTCTTCGTTTAACACCCTGTAGTATAATGCTATGTGCAAAATATCGTATTCCCAAAATTAGACATAAGAGTCAAAGAATCAGCTATTTAGAATTTTCAAAGATTTTCAAAATCGATTCAGTAATTTTCCAATAACGAGCTTTCAAATATTTTCCAAAAAACTAGGTGCGTCGTTTTTTATGACGAGCAGT